CTTTTGATCACATCGTTGCAGGCGTGTGTCGTAGGCTCTAACGTTATAAAGGACTTATATGAGACCGATGAAGACTTTCAGGAAATTTGGGCATAGTCTCGGGAGAAACCTCACGGGCATTTCTACCATACGGATGGCAACTTGTTCTGAATTATGCATTCCTCGATGCCACTACGTGAAGCTATCATCCAAGAGAACCACAGTAATGGATTGGTCGGCCATTTGGGTAGAGATAAAACTCTCACAATAGTGAAAGAACATATTTTTGCCCCGACAACACGAGATGATGAGTGTCACGTCCGACAATATAAGATTTGTCATATAGCCAAAACTCGCGACCAAAATACAGGATTATACACATCTCTACCAGTCCCTGAAGTACCTTGAATCAATGTCAACATGTATTTTGTTAGAGGACTACCATGCACACAAAGGAATAATGATTCTATCATGGTAGTAGTTGACAGTTTTTCCAAGATAGCACACTTCATCACTTGCCACCGGACGTTAGATGCATCTCATATTTGTCGATTTGTAATTCCGGGAAATCGTTCAGCTCGTGAAATCGTTCAGCTTCACAACATTGCTAGGACCATTACGTCCGATCGGGATGTTAAATTCTTGAGCCACTTTTAGCACTCTCTGGAGCATATTAGGCACTAAACTCCAATTTAGCTCTATTGCGCACCCTCAAATAGATGGGCAGACCTAAGTCGTTAATAGAAGCTTGGGGAATCTTCTTCGTTGCTTCGTTGGAAAAAAACATTAAAAAATGGGATCTCATTCTCGCTCAAGCCGAATTGTCTCCAATAAATCAGAAAGCCAAAACACAAGACACAAACCATTTGAAATTATGTATGGTCGCAACCCAATCACGCCCTTGGAATTGGTCCGACTTCTTACCCCAGCAAATATCAACACGAATGCTACAGAACATGCTTACCAAATTCAACCACTCCACAAGGAAGTTGGAGAAACAATCTCTACACAAAACCACAAATATCAAGCACGGGCAAACAAATCTAGAAAAAAAAAGTAACATTTAAAGGAGGCCTTGTGTGGATCCGCCTTAGGAAAGAACGATTTCTTGTAGTAGCTTACAGTAAACTCAAACCTCGAGCTGACGGACCTTTTTGCATACTTAAAAAGCTCAATGATAATGCCTAAAAAATCAACCTACAAGGAGACTCCAAAATTTAAGCTATATTCAATGTAGCGGATCTCACCCCCTACTACGAGAAAGCACAAGCATTAACAAATGATGTCAAAGCTACCCTAGCCCCTGGAGATTGACGCGGGGTTACTTTCCCCTTGAGCCGAGTGCCTCATTTTGTCGGTCCAGCCTTCACAGTTGATTGGTCGATCCATTCCCCCCTTTAATCACACTCATCACGCTCGGCCCTACCCAACTCATCCCGTCCCCGATTCCCGCGACTCCTCTCTCCAGTGCCCAAGTTCCCCGCCGCTCCTAGCCGTTGGAGCTAGTCGTTTCTCCCATCCATTTCTGTCACCTCCTTTCTTCCTAGGATTATGTCTTTCCCGATCCCTCTTCCCCTCTTATTTATGCATGTTTTGTTTTCCTAGGTCTAATCAACATTGTATGATTTTTGGTTTCATATTTGCCACAACGACACTCCCCTCCCATGGGGTTGTATCCAACGGCGAAAGGTGCTTCGACAATACCTCGCCTGAGTTTATGATTACCCCACTCTACCACCGTTGCTACCCACTCCTACGCCCCTCAAGCAGGACGTCCTGCTCAGCTCCTCTCCGGACGTTGTAAGCCTTCTTTGCACCTTAACTAGTGAGTCACAGCACCTCCAGCCTGCTTCTAGTTGTCGCCTTTCGTTCCTACGCCCTCCCCATCCGTTGCCGCACCTTCGGACCTTCCTTAAATTCGCCACCATCCCTCTCGGCGCCCATTCCAGCAAGATGTTGTATTTGCAGCCCGTCCCCGACACCTCTCCAGCACTAATGCTCGCTCTGATATCCTCCTAGCTGCCACCGGCAATTCTTCGACCCTCCCGGCAGGGTCTTAGCTACGCATTGGCGTTGTCCTGAATTGTTCCTGCCTTCTTTAATATCTATTTTTTATTTGTTCCTGAGTAGTTGCTTCTTATTTTATGGTCACATGTTTGTATTAATTCTCATCCAAGAGTCTGTGTTGTAGTTTCTTCTAAATCGGCAATAAAATTGTGTCGTTTAAGTTGTGATTTGGGTTAACTTTGGTATCATATCATGCTCTACATTGTTCATAAAACAACATCTTCGCTCTCAAAAAAGCTCATTATAGACACTACCAATTGTTACAATATTAATTCTTATTTTTCGAGTACAAAAGTTAGCCACTTTGTGCTTTTCCAATTTCTCTCTCGGTGCTTCAAGGATTCTTCATGAGAAAAAGCTTGCATTCCCATTAGGCTTCTACTATTGGTTAAAGGGCATAATGGACTACTAGCATGCATTTATTACTCCCTTAACCTGTGATATAGTCATAATGTTTAGAAGATGGCAATTCTTGATTTAGTTGACAACGTACTATCCTTATATGAATGATATTGTTGTCCTTTCAATAGAAAATAACATGCCAATATCATATATATTAAAAGGGCCACTTCACGTAACAACCCATTGATGTACACTTCAGTGATGGCAAAGCAAACCCAAGCACTTTTGATCAACCTTGAAACCCAATCTTCTGGCAATATTCATCAAAATCAAATTCTTCTACTTCCTAACTCAATGATACAGTTAAACATATCCCGATCCACCTAGATTCACATGGTGAACAGCTCTTCCCATTGGCATTGTGCCAAAAAAAATTCAAATGAAACTCCAACATGTTTCTTCTATAGTGCCCCGAGGTTTGACAAATTGACAATAGAGGCTATTTCTAGATTAAGAAGAAAAGAAGAGTTAGTGAAATTACCTATATAAAATCCATTTTGGTTACATGATTTTTTTTTGGAAATCTTTGATTCTCCTCCTTTCCTCTGTCATGAAATTTTTGTCTCCTTTGTTCTTCATAAACATGTTCTCTTGGTGAAGATCTTAGATAAGAATGAGCAAAAGTTCATATATTGTATGTAATGCAACCATGTCGGGTATTTTATCAACACAAAAACCTCTACAGCAACGCGCTAATCATCAGAGTTTATCTACTATGACACATATTCTTGCATGATATGGCCTTGTTGTACAAAAACCTCTACAGCAACGCGCTAATCATCAGAGCTCCATCTTAACCAATAGTAGAAGCCTAATGGGAATGACACATATGGCCTTGCCTGTTCACATTTGTGCTCCATCTTTCTACTCCATACCCCAAAGGAAGAATTTTTTATAGATTCATTTCTTAAATTGTCCGCAAGTAATATTTTGACACCCATCCGAAGAAGAGCATTCCAACAAGTTAACATGTGCTTGGTGAGTTTGAAACAAGCAACAGAAACCTTCTCCTTTGAAGAATACTCAAACAATAATGTTTCAAGTTAATCCACCTAAGCATGGAGTTTCTCTACAGCGATAAGACCATTAAAGGTAGAGATGTCGATTTTAGCCTCTACATTGAAGGTTTGATGTTGTCCTTCAAAAGAAAACTCAAGATCCTCATCTTCTAAGTAATCTTCTCATATGCTAGAGCTTTTGCAAGATTCTTGTTGTCTAGATAACAATATGTTCCTCTTGAATTAATATTTTGTATGGTTTGGTTCTGGATCGGCCATCTAGTAGTTCAATATCTTTATCATCATAATCAATTGTTGTTAAAGGAGGGTAGCATGGTTGGCCATGTCGCGAGAGGTTTCTCCTTGCAATGCCAACATCTTGGCTTCACATTACGTTCTTCTTGAGGTATACAATGCAAGAACAATTGCTCCCCTTTTATTATGATCACTCTTCTTCAATATCATTTACCAAAGTTCTTGTGAGCCTGATGTTCTAATTTCAACGAACCTAAACCATTATGATAATCAAGAAATATAAAAATATGTCCAACACATCAGTTATATAGGTACAAAGTGAGATTGTTAATCTAGGTTCGTAATTCTGTAACATAAACACACAAGCTTCATTAATGGAGCAACTAGAGAATAATAAAAGGAGACAAATAATGCTTGCATGAATCCCCTTTTGAGCTTTTTTTATTTATTAGTCACTCTCTAGAAAAAAAAAGGTCTCCTCTTCTAGGCTTGAACTCTCATCTCTCCAATTAAATTAATCTCCTGGATTTGTTCTTTTGGTTCCCCCCCCCCACAGCCCTCTCTCTCTCTCTCTCTCTCTCTCTCTCTCTCACACCCTCATAAAAATAGCAAATTTTATTTGCAATTAGAAAGTGGGAAGCATTAATTACAAGTTAGTAAGGTACAAAGTGAACTACCATACCATGATGGGCACAGAGAATCATGATTACAAAATTCAAGGAGGAGGCTTTGATTTTGATATGATTTTGGATTGTTTGACAGCAACCTCCTTGAATGCATATTCACATGGATTTTGGCATCATCTCGGAGATGTTTTTTAAGTTTCTCTTAGACTCGCCAATTCTTCTCAAATTTGATTGATTTCTCCTTAAAGCACATCATTTTCATCAAGATCCTCTTGGAATATTGTAATCCCCTCAAAAAGGAGTCCCCTACTCACATTACAAATCCTCTCAGCTTGATTTTTTACACGCTTTCAACAATCAAACCATGCTTTCAGAATTACAATGGAATCAACCTAACTCTACTCCGAGCCCATATAAGACCAAACCCAAACAAAATTCAAATTTATCTAACATTCAATTTTCCCATTTTGGATGGTCAAAATAAAAAACCTCTAAACATAGCCAAAAAAATAATTAAGAAAATAAGAAATTCCAATGGCATGACTTGGGCTTGGTGCGGTAACAAAAACATAAACCAAAACAAGAGAAGCACTTGCAACAATAATTCTATAGCAAGAATACAAGAAAATGCCATGAAGTTTTAATCAACTATATGCTTCTTTTTGAAATTTACCATTTGATCGCTCCATAAACTCTAAACTTATCCTCAAGGTCTCGTTCAGTAATTCGAGGCTCCAAGTTACCCACATAAACACGTGACATTGTTAGGAACAAACTCCAACCTAACAATTTAAAAAAAATAATAATATAAAGAGTACAACATGGAAAACCCAAATATAAACAGAATAATCAAAGATCACTTAGACATTGTGAAATGTTGCAAATCACTTCATAAACATAAAATAAAATCCCCGCATTTTTTTAAGGGTTGTATCTAATGAATGAGGATTTTGTCAATGCATAATCCAAGAAGGTTTACTTGAATGCTTTTCCTCATTGCATGATGTGATGGTTAGTTCTATGATTCAAACTTGTGTCGTTTGGATCACGATTAAGGTAATCTAACCAATGGTTGTAGGCCTACTTGCAAACAGGAGATTATTTTTTTTTCCTCATTGCATGGCCTTTAAAAAAAAAAAAGAGCCTTAAGTTACTAATATATATATATATATACGGATGGCAACT